ATTGGTGCCGCCCCGGGGCACCACGGGAGCGACAGTTTCCCTCAGGAAAGGCGGCGAACGGCGCGGTGGCTGGCTCTGAGGGGAGCGGTGCTGCGGCGCGCAGCCAGCCGCCCTAACAGATCCCCGCGCTCGTTTCAAGGTTCCCGTAGGCTCACTGCAATGAGTTAGGGCGAGCTGTTACCTCTCTTGAAGTGGAAGTTGAGATCTTCATAAAATCCAGTCTCTTCAGGGGCTTAAATGTGCAGATGTCTTGCATTCCGTATCTGAAAGCTGAAATATGAGGCAGCTGAAAAAAAACCGCCTTGGACATGGACAGAAATTTCCCATGACTAATTTAGATTAGCTGCCTGCTGTTACTGGAAAGGGATCAATTAAAAAAAAAAATCTCATAAAGCAAATTGTTTCATGAATAAAAAGTGATTTTTTTTTTCTTCACAAGTGACCTTAATAACTCACAGACTCTGAAGGTATTTGTGCTGCCTGAGAGTTATGAAACTTTCGCACTCACAGATGAAATGTAGTCATCGCCTTCCGCTGTTTAGATATTCTGTGGCATTCACTCCGTATCAATAAAAGGCGGGAGTCCTCTCGGCAGTGCAGGTATGGAAAGCAAACAGAAAGGACGATCACAGCCTGATATTTGCGTTGTCGGGTTTTTTTTGAGAAAAGGTGCCTATATTAAAGGCAAACTGTGATCATGTCACTGATGGGCCACCGCTTCTTTGCTACATCGGTAAGAAATTCCAGACATACCTAAAAGGGATATATGGCCTTATATTCCCCTAATAAATCTGTTAATCCTATACCTAAGCAGTTAACATACTTATCCTACAATAAAATACATCATGTATGCATAAAGATATATACATCCAAGCATAACATCAGGCATAATACGGTCTCTTAAATTTTTCACCTATTCCATTAAGACTTAGTGTACAAGTGTTCATCTCCATTTACAGAACATCAAGGTGAAAAACAGAACTGCAATCGCTACGATTCCTCACAGCAACCTCTATGAGCCTTATTTATCACAGCTTCGATGCTGTGTGCTATCGTAGGAATGAACGGCCCGCGCACAAGTTATCACAGGCCTGCTTGTGCTCTTACAACCACAGCACAGCTGAAATGCCAATGCCTAAGGTCTCGGTCATGAACAAAACCCCAGAGTAACGACAAAAGCCTCTTTCTCACTCTTTCTGGGCTCCTTCAAGAGCCTGTGAAGAGACATGGAGGCTGACACATAACTTGATCTTTTGTCCTTTCTGTTTCTACAAATATGGAGTATTTTAACACCATGCCTGATAGTATTAATCCAACTTCATTAGCATTCTACCCACAAGGAACAGTGTACGGTGCTTCAGAAATGTGATAAAATGCAGTAGCTCAAGGACTCGGGAGCAGAGCTGACACTGCTGAGTGCAAAAGAGACCCCCAAAGGTTTAGCCTATGATGTGTGCTGCACAACATTCAGGAGCCAGGAAAACCCATTTAGTGCTGAGATCTTTCTGAGAGAGCAACTACTTTTTCTCTAACGCATCTGTGTTACAGGAGCACTCCAAGACCTTCATCTCATGGAGTTTCAGAGAGGACTAACCCACATGTTGTGGTTTTATGCCAGCCAGCAACTAAGCACCACACAGCCACTCGCTCACCCCCCTCACCCTGATGGGATGGGGAGGAGGATCAGATAAAAAACAGGAAATCTCGTTGATTGAGATGAAGACAGTCTAGTAGGACAGCAAAGGAAGAGAATAATAATAATCATAGAATCATCACACATACATGTTGCAGGCTCCATCCGCGCTGCAGGTACCCAGGAAGAGGCAGGAGAGGTCATCAGTCCTGACACACAGCTAGTCACACACAGTGCACCCCACAGCCTGGTTCTCAAAGGTCTCCTGCTTGCTGTTTTTGGTGTCCCTGCTCAGGAAAGCAGAGTGAGAGAGCCTGGAAGGGCCTCCATAAGAGGGAGGAAGACTCTAATTCCCTGCCTGCACCCCAACGGAACAGACTCCTGGAGGGATAGGACAACAGAAACCACGTTGCAGGGTGTGGGGATGGCTCTCAAGCTGAGCATGGCACTGATGGCTCACAGTGTACCTGCAGGGAAGAGGCTGCAGAATGAAACAGGGGTCCTTGGAGATCACTACGACATAGAGAACAAGAGAAAGAGGTACCCAAACCCTCTTTTGAGACATAGGTTTGGAAACAGCACGTGGGGTCAGGGGAGTGGTGGTGAGGATCAGCATCATAAGGGATGGCTCAAGAACATTGTTGCTCGGTCTCCCCTGCCCATCCAGGTGCAGGCAAAGGCAGACAGCCCACACCCCCCTTCTGTCCCCCTCACTCAGCACCATCCTAGCCCTGGAAGCCCTGGCTTCAGTACCTCAAAAATGGCATAAGAGCACCAGCAGCCACACTTCCCTCTCTCTGCCATGCCCAGTGAGATCTTCTGATATGGCACATCAACGAAGTCATGGCACTGGTGGCTTCTCAACACCTTCGTTCTGAGGTTGAGCCAGCCCTATAACTCATACACTCACGGTACAACTAATAACTCGATTCTGCAAGTGCACGCTGTCTGTGTGGGGCTGTTACCCCCAGGGAGGGAAGGTCAGGGAACCCCTCCTGCTGACAGGACACCCCAGCTCGCCACCAGGCTCTGAAGGACGGGCCAAGCGCAGGGAGCAGGTACCAGCAGTGCCTTCCAGCTGTGTAGAATAAGAGACAGATGCCTTTGCAGTCCATGGGATGGCACTCTTTGAACACTCGTTCACTCCTGAGTGCTGCGGTTGAACTTCTGTCTTAACAAGCATGAACTTCTGGGTGTTTCCAGTAGGAATTTTGCAGGATAAAAGAACAAGGACACACAGGCTTGTGGGGGGACAGACTGAGCAGCTGGGGCTGCAGAGGAACCAACGGCCAACAGGGAGCCTGGCAGCTGAGCTGCGCGTTGACGGGAGTTCGATTGCACGCCCGCGGAGGGAAGCCAGAGCACCAACAGCCAACTGAGGGTGCCTGGACTCGAACAGCACGCCAACACAAAAGGCCAAAAGCATGAGAAGCACACCAGCGAGGGGAAGGTGAAGCACCAACAGATGACTACAGACTGCAGGTCGAGGGAGCTCACACATCAGCGTGCCAATGCAAGTGCTCAGAAGCCCAAACACCACAGCAACAGAGGGAAGACGGAGGGACAACAGCACGCCAGTGGGGAGGAACAGGTCACATATGGCACAGCAACGAGGGAAATGGAGCAGCTACGCCGTGTCAGCCCACGCCAATTGCCTTCTGCAGGAAACCATTCCGTTCAGTCGTTGGTCACAGATATCATGAAACAGTCTCCTGGACAAGCAGAAAATAATTTTTCCATTCTTTGAGTATGTAGACAGAGTTGGAGAAGGAAAGTCCACAGGAATTGATAGAGGGGATTGTAAGAAACGTGAAACTATAACAAAAAGACCTTAATATTTTCTAGTTTTTAGTAGTCTTTAGTACTGTAACTAGTATTCCTGCATGCATAGTGATCTAACGATGTAACTGTTACACCAATCCCTGTTTTCTCATTAAGGAATGTAGTGGAAGGACATGGGCACAAGCTCTCACTTGGTCGTTAGACAAAACAATGAAGTGAAACAGAAGTGGTCTTGGTTCTCAGCAAATAATTGGGATGATTGTGGGATAGAAGAGACTCCTCAATAATTCTACTCCAGACAGCTCGGCCTTGGGAGGGCAAATG